ATTATTGACTGAATTTGTTTGAATCAACATATCGCATGTTTTTAGAAAATTAGTGGGAAAAAACAATGAAATTTACCGGGGCGCATGCGACAAAACGCCGCTTGGCTGCCAAACCTATGTTTCTTGAACATGGCTGTGAAAATCCACCATGGTCTCAATATGTCAACAGAATTTGGTAAACATATTTGAATTTTCATACTTTCATGCGAATCGCACGCACCAATGATAAGCCTTTCGGCTCCAAACAAAAATGTCAACCTGGAATTTGAAGCCTCGATAATTCAATTTTGAACCCAAAAAAATTCAACCGGAAGGCCAAAAAATGTTTAAACATATATAGGCCCCATAATCCTATGAACCTTCAGGTTCATGAACATATAAACCTTAAACCGTAAGCGTTGTAAAATATATGAACCGCAAGACCCAGATTCCATGAACTTTGAGGCCCAAAACTCTGTGAATTTGAATCCCCCAACGTATCAAAAATGAAGTTTAGCTTGACTTCAAAACCTGGGAACTTACAGACCCAGAAATGCATGAACCTGAAACCGTAAAAATCTTTGAACCTGAACCGCTCAAACAAAAATAAGGTCAGGAAGAATGTGAGGCGTAAATGCCCACCACATCCCCGCATATTTCAAGGAAAAGTGAACAAATTCGTCATTTTCAAACGTATGTGTACATGTACATACAAAAACACTGTACATATACATATACATATACATATATACAAATGTACATATATACATATATACATATATACATATATACATATATACTTATATACATATATACATATTTACATATATACATATATACATATATACATGTATACATGTATACATGTATACATGTATACATATATACATATATACAAATATACATATATACATATATACATATATACATATATACATATATACATATATACTTATATACAAATATACATATTTACATTTATACATATATACATATATACATATATACATGTATACATGTATACATATATACATATATACATATATACATATATACATATATACACATATACACATATACACATATACACATATACATATATACATATATACATATATACATATATACATATTTACATAGATACATATATACATATATACATATATACATATATACATATATATATACATATATACAAATATACATATATACATATATACATATATACATATATACAATATACATATATACTTATATACATATATACATATTTACATATATACATATATACATATATACATATATACATGTATACATGTATACATGTATACATATATACATATATACATATATACATATATACATATATACATATATACACATATACACATATACATATATACACATATACTTATATACATATATACATATATACATATATACATACATACATATTTACATAGATACATATATACATATATACATATATACATATATACACATATACACATATACACATATACATATATACATATTTGCATATATACATATATACATATATACATATATACATATATACATTTATACATTTATACATATATACATATATACATATATACATATATACATATATACATATATACATATATAGATATATACATGCACATATACATGTACATATACATATACATGTATACATGTATACATATACGTATACGTATACATATACATATGCAATATGAATATGTACAATTGATGATTTGGCAACATATTTGTCAAAATATATGCACGTTGTGAGGTTCCAGAATGGACATCGATATTCCTCAGATTTTTGTACACATGACAAGTGGTTGTTTGGGATTTGTGAGTTTGATTGTTTTTTTTTTAAACATGTATGTATATATAAATATCAACCTTTGTAAGTTTAGAAGACTTCCGAGTTGTGGACAGGCTCAAGGAGTAGTTCCTTTTTTGCGATGTTGGGAAACCTACTGTGCAAAACAAGTGTGCTTCCCTCTTTTGAAGAACATCCAGTCAGCACAGTCCTCAAAACCACTTTCTACTGGACATTGTTGAGGCAATGGTTTCCAAAACCCTTTTGGCCGTGAAAATGCGCAAAAAAAATGACATGGCTCATTTGTACCTAGTTGGGCCCAGGGAAGGCCGAATGACCCTATGTACCAACTTAGTAGATACAAACGACGGTCCGGGTATGGGGATGGGTCCCTATTGGATATGTTTCTGGTTTGCAGCTACCAGGATTTGCTCGCAGGATTTGACGGTGATTTTTGGGCTTAATTTTTGACTAGCAGGGGCCATCATTTTACTGTGTCAGATTTGTTACAGACATCCAGATATTCAGTGGTCATACCAAGTTCGAGCCCGGTACCTTGATAGACCTGCTCTGTTTCCAAAAAGATTTATTTACGAAGTAGGAACCCCAAAAGGATACAAGAGCAATTCCACACGAGTTTGATGGTGGTAAAACAAAATCTTTTTTTTGAATCGTCAGTGTGCCCCCAACATCCCTCTGGGGCACCAACGGGGCGCCATCATGGTAGAAGTACTTGGCAAATGGATTTGCCCGACAATGGGGGAAGGGCCCCAGTGCGTTTTTGGGCGCCGGAGATTTTGAGGTAAATTCCAAAAAATGTGTGACAATCGGAGGTGACAGACAAACCCCGATTTCTCGCAAAGCCTACGTTTTTTCTTCAGAGAGAGAGAGAGAGAGAAAACCTTGAGAGAGAGGGCGTTGAGAGAGAGAGAGAGAGAGAGAGGGAGAAGAGAAACTTTGAGAGAACGAAAACCTTGAGAGAGAGAGGGCCTTGAGAGAGAGAGAGAGAGAGAGAGAAAGAGAGAGAGAGAGAGAAAGAGAGAGAGAGAAAACCTTGAGAGAGAGGGCCTTGAGAGAAAGAAAAGCTTGAATGAGCTTGAGAGAGAGAGATAGAGAGAGAGAGAGAGAGGCAGAACCTTGAGAGGAAAAAAAGGCCTTGTGAGAGACAGAGAGGGAAACCTTGAGAGAGAGAGGGCCTTGAGAGAGAGACAACCTTGAGAAGCGCTTCCATGAGATGCCTTGAGGGCAACAAGGGATCACATCTAAAAAGCATGTGTTTTGCACATGACTGAGCACACATGTGTGCTTAAATTTTTGGTATAAGAATACATGTTCACAGCATAACAGGTCTATATAATACTTTAAAAAAAAACCAAAAGGAGGTCGTACTTTGGCAATTCAGGGGTCGTAGTTTTGGTAGTAGTTTGCTACCGCAAAGGAATAAACATGGATTCAAAAAATAGACTATTTCCTTTTTTTTTGTCTATTTTTGGGTACATGTTGAAGAGATAAAATTAACTTTTTCGGCAAATCAAAAAAGATAGCAATTAACTGTTTCGGCAAATTGATTAAACTATTTTCTCTTATTCAAACAATATATATATTTTGAGAAGAAGTAAAATAGACTATTTCCTTAGGAAATCGTTTCAAACCCACGAAATAGGTTATAGACAATTTTTGGTTGAAGACAATCAATCTTTTGGGTGCTTCTACGAAGCGACGGTTGTGCTGTTTCGTGCGGATGCAACGAACATGACCAGTGTGGAATTCCACTGCCACCTCAGGAATATACGGACGCAGCAGCGGGGTGGTTTCATACTGTGGTTCTTCGAAGTGATGGGAATGCAGTTGCGCGTGGAGCGAATCAGTGTGGACAATGCAACATTACACCTTTGAATCGTGGATGTCGTACCTCCAGGTGTCTGCAGGAGGATATCATATAGTACTTCGTCGGAGTGATGGCCATGCGGTGGCTCACGGAAGCAATTTGGAGGGACAATGCCACATCCCAGATTTGGACGCAGGCGTGTCATACATCAAAGTCTCAGCCGGCGCAAGACACACGGTTTTGTTGCGAAATGACGGTAACGCTGTAGCATACGGGGACAACACGTTGGGGCAATGTGAGAATTCCACCGTTGTCACCCAATATTATTTTCGCCGACATGTCTTCCGGCTACTTCCATATACAGTGCTTTGCCGGAGTGATGGCCGTACAGTGGCTTGTGGTTTGGCAACGCCTACGCGTGCTCGCTACCTTGGAGGCGCATGGGTACTTGATCAGGTTGGTGCCACAATGGACTATACACCTAGCAAGGCCGAAAGTGTCCGTGTTGCGGCAAATAGGTTTGGTGCTGACCTCCTCGGATTCCATTTGTTTCTGTTGAGTTCTTGTGGTAATGCAACCCGCAAGGGTCCTCAGTTCACACTTGCAATCATTCTTGGGACCCCTTGAAAGTCCGGATACCGCACAAACAGAGTCGCTTTGGATCGTTTCCCTGCCTCATCTTGATGTCAAAGGCATGTCTGTAGATTTGCCCAGATTTTTCAGGAGTTTCGTGCACTGCGGAAGTTGATGTTTGTATTCTTTTTCGTGCTGCAGCTTTTGGTTTCCCCGGACTTCCTGGCTTCAGTGCCCTGTTGCCGCAGGCTTGATCTGGGATCGGTGCCCACAAGGATTTTTATGTTTTTTCTTTGTTTTTTCTTGCGTAATCTCATAATTTCAGAAAGTACCACAATGTGCGGTTTGACAAAAATAAACATATTGAATCGACGTGATCAGTTTTTTAGGTCAGAATCGAAGTGGGGAGACAGACGCTGACATTAAAATACAAATCCCTGGCAGGTTCATCGGACTCTAGCAGTCGCAGTTTCTTTTCCATTGTTTCTGGTGAAAATGAAACTTTTGAGTTTCAATGGGCGTGGCTTGGAAGTATCTGGATCTGTGATGAGTGCTTTGCTGACGCAATATTTCCATGTATTTTCAACGGGTTGTAGAGACATCAAGTGACATCAAAACGATGTGCAATGGTCCAAGCGAACCCCACAACTCGCCATGCAATTTGTGACATTGGGACGACCACTCGTGGAACGGAAAAAGGCTCTTCCATAAGTCACTGGGGTTCGTAGTTGATGTTCAGGCTTTTGGACCTAGAGTTCGTTTGCATCCAGCCACAGTTTTGCTTGCCAGGCCTGGTGATGGCAGTCATTCGAAGGTCTCACAAACGGTTTGTTGATTCACAGGTGCACCGAATGCTGCAATGCTTGGCGGAGGAACACCTCATTTTCGAATCTGGAAAAGGGACTTCCAAGATCACACTGATTTCTTTGTTTAGCTGCATCAAGCAAAGGGTGGCAAGTTGAACAAAAGTGAGTCCGGTTGCCCATCACTTGTAGGTATCACATGTGATGTTTTTGGAGGAAGTATGAGAAGCTCTGTTTGAGGAAGTGTGGGCCTCACCCAACAGCGCAGAAGAGCAGGTCTTTTTGAAATTCCTTTCTGCTTTGCCTGGACTCTAGAGCCTGAAAAAAAAACGTGCGCCCATTCCGCTGAACAGCGGTGTAAACTATGTGCTGCCCTGCTGTTGCTAGTACAGCGACTGTCGTGAGTTGCACTTGCTGTATCCTCCATCCACAATTTAATTCGATGATTCGATATCCCTGTTGGAATTTCCCTTATAATTTGGGAGGCGTCGACCTTTTTATAAATGGTTTATATAGGGGCATTTTGTAGTTGCAAGAAACCCCCTAACCAGGGCATTTTGTAACAAAACACCTAAAAGGCAAAATTGTACATTTTGAAGTCTTCATTTTGTAAGAGTTTTGAGGGGCCAACTCATTTTATCAGACCATCGACTTTGTTTTTTTGAGGCTTTTTGTATGGTCAATGTGCTGTTATTAAACATCAAAAAACTCAGCACGGTGTGCAATGACATTTTGTAAGGAGATGTCGTCAAGAGTAGGAGAACCATGTTGTAAGAATATATGATTTTAAGGCATTGATACAAATTGTTGTTCAAATTTGTACATGTTTTTGATTTGACTCAATCATACTCAATCATCAGGAGTTCTGGCAGGCAATGATGCCAAAGAACAAAAATACAAAAGGTGGCAAAAAAAAGGAATCCTTAAATAAAGGCTGCTTGAGAATCAACGAGGCCGGGAAAAAAAACAGGGAACCAGAAGTTGTTGCCTTACAAAATGATACCCAAAAACGCTATCTGAAATCACAACATCCTATAAAAAGGTCATTGAGTGGGATGCAACATTCATATCATGAAAAAAGTTGTCACCTTACAAAATGATGACGGATTTTAGAGTCGAATGTGGGTGCTAAAAACCTATGTTTTTTGTAAGGGCCAAAATTCCCAAAAACCGATCCATTTTATAAGGATTTCAAAATCCCACCGATTTATGCTTGCAAGAAGCCGGGTCCGACCCGTGGTTTGTACTTGTACATAGTTGTTCACAGGTAGGACCCGGAACTTCATCGGTCCGTTGCCGTTTTGCTTCAAGCTTGCATATCGTATTTCTCCATGGCTGTCCAGTCCAGGCGTTGTTTGGACAAAGGGCAGGCTGCATTGCATCGACCTGTGGTTCTTCATCCACCACCGGTGCATCTGCCCAAGTGGTCTATTGGTGCCTTCTGTTCTGGTTTTGCACTGGGTGTGGCTTTTGCCTCGGTTTCCTTTTTCTGGTGGTTGTCATCACTGTGATTATCATGAATGCTCCTCGTCGTGTTCTTCCTCAGGAGATCCGTTTTACGTTGGAGTTCCAACCTGGTGCACCTTTCCAGCAGTCTATCATCAATTCAATCATGGCTCCATTCAACCTGGATCAATTGGACTGCAGCATTAATGAGATCATCTACCCCACTGCTTGGCCGATTGGCTTCGGAGGCGACCCTGACCTCATCGACCTTCCTACTCACTGGGTACCTTGGGACGACGACATTGTTTCTACATCCCAGTACCATTTCTATGTCGCTGACCTCGAAGTGTACGAATCCATGGCTGCCGTGGCAACTGCAACAGACAATCATCTTTCTATGGTACCTGCAGGTGTCCCCTTTGACTTCCGCATGGAGACCATTTTGATTGTGCACCAGTTGCCATTGATGCAACTCATGGAGCTTGCGGCCCAGTCAGCTGACAGGATCATTACCTTGGAACGACGTCTGGGTGACGCTGAGGCAGCCATTGCACAGATCCGTTTCCATCTTGGTATTTGAAGCACCTGCCATTCCTGTCCTGTTTACTTTTCGGGTGGCTGGCTTCTTCGGATATTTGCTTGGACCTTCAATCTTGGCAGTTCAAAAGTGCATGTGCTGTTTTTGGGTGGCCGCTGCCTTCCACTCATGTTTCCGTTGATGTCATTTCCATGATGCACCGCTGTGCTTTCGTTTATCTTGCCCGCCTGGCAGCTTTCGGCTCGAATAACCCGATCTGGTTGTTCTGGCCATGTCCCACCGTACCCCATTGCGCGGTCTGAGGGATGCCATGTTTGATAGCTCAGATTGGAGGTTGTCCTTGGAATATCTTGTTCCAGGATCTTTACCTCCACCTGTGGTGGAATCTTGCTCTGTGACATTTCCACCTGGTTTCTCATTGTACCAGGTGTCACAAATGCTGGAGCATGGTGGGCACCATCGTTGCAGAGTTCATGGTATTCATATTGCCCTCTATTCACCAGCCAGTCCTTCCGAAGCGGTTACAGCCCCACCTGATTTCGGCTCTCCAGCTGCCATTGAGGAGACGATGGACGCAGATGATGCAGACTCAGAGCAGGGTACAGGCAACTCTCAAAACGATGGATCGGTATTGGACCTCGCAAGGTCTGTTTCCACTCATAGGCTGACGTCTAATGAGATGCATGCCCTTGACCACCTGGCTCTGCAAATTCATCAGAGGCTGGAAGCTTCGCGTTCAGTCCCTCACCATTCAGCTGAGTATGCCCGTGGGTCATGGCTGATGACCAGAGCTTACTTAGCCCGTGCTTTGGAGGACACATTGGCCAACCCATCGACGCTTGGTGGTGCAGCATCTTCTGATCCCCTGGGACTTGGGGACCCTGGCCTTAACTGACGGTGTGCTGCTGTACTGACCTTTTTGCTCATGCATGATACCGCCGCTGTCATTTGGACATCAATTGTCTATTTATATGTGACCGCGCCCGTGTCACACTGCATTGGGTCTTATAGTCTCAGCTCACATCAAGCAGTGGCTGATATTTTCAACGCTCATATCTGACATCGCATGTCGGAGGAAAAAGAGTGCCCTTTTGCGTATTTCAATTCGATTTTCAATTCCATGTTGTTGCACTGAGCCGTCATTTTCACTTCTGTCCATTTTCTTCATTGGTCATTTCGCAGTTTGGCAGTGGGCTCAAACGGGGCATTTATTCCAGTCCGTACTGGCTGCGATGCAGGGGCTGCAGTTGTCGTATCCCCCGGCCCAATTCACCTTTCAGATTACCTTCGGTTCAGATTCGGTGGTGCCAATTGAGCGACTCTTCCGGTTCTTTGCCCTGGAATCTTTGGTGTTGGACCCTGGGAGGACACTTTTTCCTCTTCAAGTTCCTCGTGACCTGGAGGTCGACGTGACCCCATCGCAGTGGCGCAAGTATAAGCCAGACTGGGAATCGGCCTTTAATGAGGATTACGAGTACATCGTCTTCCTGCCAGAGGGCCTGTACGCACAAGTCTACACCCATATGACTCGTGCCTTCCCCGATCACATAGTCCAATGCCACGGAGATGGACGTGTTGCCAAGGTGGACGTTCGGGTGAAGCCAATGGCATTTGCCGACTTGGCTGATGCCCTTTACCAGGTGCAGTCAGAAGTTGACTCTCTCCATGCTGAGGTTGCGAAGATGCGGCGATGCCAGGACTTGTTGTTCCACAATCTTGCAACCATCACAAAAGACTGGATGGAGGTCAATCCTGAACTTGCTGACCGTCTTCATCCATCGACGCCCCAGTCCTGGATTGCACCACGATCAGAAGAAGATTGACGACAGTCCTTGGACATGGCGACGGTTTTGACTTTGTGCCCATCTGGACCACGCCTGGTCAATTTTTTGTCTCGGATCATTTTCGGCAGACAACAGCTCTGCTCACATTTCACCATCTGTGCTTGGCAAAAGGCTGTGTGGACCGGTGTTTGTTCCATTGTCTATCCGCTGATAGCCAACATGCATTGCCTATGCTTGCACTCAGGTGTCACATTTTTCACTTCTTTGGCTTGCTGGCATTTCTGGTTCAAACCTTTTTGACCCGCCGGTCTCGTAGTCATGGATCCCCCTTTGGAGCTACTGGGTGACCATACTATTTTGCCTGGGTCAGGTTGTGGCAGAGGCATTTCCATTTTCCAGCCTAATAGACCTGCTCCGTCTGAACCCTTGTTTAGAGTCAAACGGTGGAGACGTGAACCGGCTCAGAGTTACGTTGACCCATCTCCAAAAGCTTCGGCGACATCTTACAAGTCTGTTTTAAACAGGTGGGATGGTCAAGGACTTGGCGCACACTACAAATCATATAGCAATGGACCCCTCTACATTGGTGGCCTGCAGCCACCTCCAATGAGACCTCGTCGGGAAGTGGAGTGGGATGCACATCCTCCAGGTCTGCAGTATGTTCCACCATCGACATTGGGTGTCCACGCGCGGTCTTATCAGTGTCAGCTCAATCATGATCGCCCTATGTCAGCAGGATGTGCATCTATCGTTCAAATGCAGCCGCACAGTTCTTCAATTTTCCTGTCTGGTGTCCTTGATGTGCCTTCAAATGTTGTGAAAGCTTCGATAGCAGATTCCACTACAATGCATGCCTTACATCAGCAGCTGAGAACCCAACACCACATTGATTGGCTTCAGCTTCTGAAACAGGCTGGTTCCAACAGCGAGCTCATCAAGTCCACGCAGGACAGCCCCAACCAAGAAGCTCACTTGATCAAGGTTGTTGCGAAGTTTGCACCGTCTACTTTAGCGGCATATCTCAAGGGCTGGTCACAGTGGGTGGAGTTTTGTCATTGCCATCAGGTATGTCCTTACAGCCCGCCGACAGTTTTCCTTGCAGATTTTCTCCAGGTGTCCTCTAAGAGGAGTTCACTGGGTGTTGCCACGGCGCAATCGCGAGCTCTCACGTGGGTCTCGAAGTATGCTGGGTTCCCGGCACTCTTGGGGTCCTTACAGGCGCCGATTACTCGGGCTTACACAATTCCATCAGAGATCTCTGTCAGGAAAGAAGCCGCCCCACTGCCGTTGAGCTTTGTTGTGTACTTGGAGTCCTGCATTCTTAAGGAGCTGGGCACAGCTGCGGACAGGTTACTGATGGGCTCACTGCTTGTTTTGATCTGGTCATCTCTGCGGTGGAGTGACGCACTTTGGGTTACCCCAAGTGCACTCACAGAGGACGTTGATGTTATCCGAGGCATCGCAGTCCGTACCAAGACGACGTCACGCGGAATGCCATTTGCGTTCGTCAAGTCAGGGCTCTTGGCCACATCGACACAGGTCACTTGGTCTATGAAGTGGCTCAACTTGGTGCGTCAAGCACTGCAACGGACAGCGGAAGTATTTCCGGATTTCACTCCAGATTTCTTGCTGCCCATGTGTGGGCCGAATGTGGATAACCCCATGTTCACGGCACCCATGCCTCGGACACAAGGAGTCTTGCTGTTGAGACGACTTCTCTTGCAGTCCAACAAAGATGCGTCTGTCTTGAGTATCGGCGTGCACTCCCCGAAGGTAACTTTACTTAGTTGGGCACGACAAATTGGAGCGTCAGAGGAAGCCAGAATGGCCCAGGGCCATCATCGCCAGTCAGGCGCTCGCTCCAACGTGGCCTTGTACGGCCGGGACGACGTACATCCAGCTATACAGTTACAGTACCAGATCATTCAGCGCATTGCTTCAGGTTTCAGGCCAGTGATTCCACTTCTTCGTGGTGGTGCTAAACCTGTTTTGGACAAACCAGTATCCGTGGCCCCACCCTCAGAGGAAGTCACATCACAGGCTCAGACACAATTGTGCCTCCCCCATTCTGATGACTTGGCCGACACCGACTCTGGTGAGTCTGATGCTGGGGCGGCGCCTGAGCTTCAGGATGACACAGAGGTTCCAGTGATCCAAGCAGCCTCAGCTGATTGTCTCTTTCTTTTGAATACAACGTCATCAATTGCTCATGTGGCCGCTGTATGCGATGAATCTGATACTTACAGGGTGGTAACAGTGGATGCTGGGGAAGTGCGAAAATCGTTCAAGTTTGCTTGCAATGTCCGTCGTGCAGCCTGGGATGCTGAAATTATTCCAGCTGAAACATTCCCAGAAAAATTTAGGCTGTGCATGAGACCAGCCTGCTCTAAGATGTTTGACTGAGCGCGGACTTGGCATGTCAAAACAGTGCAGTCACGATATCAGTGCATCCCGCTGCGTGCACTTGTGACATTTTTGGTACCCATTTTTCCATTGGTACCATTGCACGGGTCTCATTTTCCGCATATCTTTCAGCACATGTGTCCATATATTTTCTTATATATACGTTGTACCCTGCCAGCCATTTTTGTCTCGAGGTGCCGCTTGCCACCCATGACTGACTTCGCTAAGTTAGAGGCTATGGTGAACTCTGCACTCCCCTTTGTCAGGGAGTGGGCTTCAGATGATCATCACAGGGCACACCTTGAAGTTTGCTTGGCGGGATGTGCAGCAGTGGCGAAGCATCTGGCATCCAGATTCCATTGGACGCTCATCTCAGTCCTCTGCTCACTGGCTGCGAAGGTGTTGATTACTCAGGATGAGGCCCAAGCGGACCTAGCTCCATCTGGGTGGATCCCTGACAGGACGCATCCCTGTTCAGTTATCACCTTCACTTTAGCTTTGCCCGTTGAGCAGGCGCATCTTTTGGTTTTCCAGCTCTCCGGAGCCCTTTCAGTGGTCACGGAGTGGGGCCTATCTAGCTCCCCACTGTTGACCCCGGAGGATCACTTGGTCTTCCGCCACCTTCGATCGATGCTTTTCGACTTGATTACAGCTGTGCGTCTTGGAGCTGGAGGTCAGGCCGCTGACCGGCTGATGGAGGAGCTACCTAGTCTTAGCCAGCCTGCCGCGCAAGAGTGACCCATGCATTCATCTGCCTTGGATCAAAAGGGGCGGTATTGCTGAGTTTATCCCAGTCATGTCCTGGGATGATTTAGTGTGCTTGGGTTTTTGCCACGCTTGGCTACCCTTGTACGG